CTATCAAGTGGGAACCATACTTGCTTTCCTATTTTCTGGGGTTTCTATGGATGTCAAATAAGAGAACCAGTTATAGTGCTCTGAGGAATGGAGATTTGAACTGTTATCGAGACGTGTTCTATCATCTATTATTTGGGTAAAAACACCTGTTAATTGTCCATCTTTCCTTGAATACTATTCTAGCTTCTAGGTACCAGATTTCTTGCTGAAACTCTACTATAGGACATCCCTTTGGGCTAGGAGGAAATTAGAAACCTGTTCCTGGTGCTTCACAAAGTTGGCTTTGTTATTTGAAGAGACCGTTACAATTGCTGTGGGCACATAATCTCGGACTACTTTTTCTGAGGCGTTTTCATGGTAATGTAGTTGTGTGTAGATTTAAGTGTGACTTTGTTGATGTGTTCATTATGCAAAGTCATTGTCCATTTCCCATTGACCTTCCTTCCATAGTCTCAGACTCAAAAATCTGTGATTGAAAAGCACAAGCATGGGCTAGAATGGACATTAATGCGCTCATTCTTATGGTAAACATTTAACAAAATATAGAAAGTAACCATCCCCAAGTAGACTGCTGAAAAACGCCTTTCACAGTCAAGATGATGTCACACTCAGTTAGTGTGGCCAGTTAGTGAGGCCAGACACTGATGGGTCACCAAAGCAACAATTAGTGTGCCAAAGGGCATCCAGTCACATAAGCATATTTGTTTATTGGCTTAGAGAATAGATTGTGTTACGTTGCACAGTCAGCATTGAACCACCCATGTTGGGACGCCAAAAAAGCACAAACAGACCAGAATAAAATGGTGATTAATGCATGGCCTTCCAGTTCTGGTTAAAAGCTGATATATTTTCTTAATGAAAATAATTTCATCTTTCACTTGAGAGAAAAACAAAGATTTATTTTCTTTCAAATGACAAGACTTCTTAAGCGGGTAACAGAAGAGCTATGTTTCTTGGGATTAATATGAATTCTTTTAAAATACATGGTAAACAATGCAGGGGAGCATTTGCTGTACGATTTAATATGTATTTTAGGCAAAAAGAAATAAGGGAACCTTGACTTGTATTTCTTTTCCAATGATGAAAAGTTTACCAAAGAAGGGAGATTTTTCTTTCCTGTCTGGAGGCAACAGGCAAAGAGTTGCCTTGAATGGAGTTAAATGAGGAGAAATATTAAAAGGCTTTTCTGTTTATCAATACTCCGGGGTCATCTTAACAGTATATGTGGTTTTAAATATCAGGGTGAATAATATTGCAAAGACCGACCTATCATTTGTCTTATTCAAGCATGCTTTAAAATGTCTGCGCAGGTATTTTTTTGTAAATTTCAAGCTGTGTTGTACTAACATACTCGTTAGCCTTGACTGAACATGATGCCTGCTACTTCCAAGTGCGGTTTCACTCGTTTTAATGTAATTGCATAAGCCTGGTAGTGTTGATTCACAGTTCTCGGGTAAGAGAGGATGACCGTCACCTTGCAAGGTAGGACCACAGGGCAGATGGGCTCCTAGCAGGGCAGGGCGTTGACATCAATACTGAGAGCACAGAAGCAGCGGTTTTTCTTTGTGAGACATGCCGAGCACATCACTCCTACGGAGAGGAAGCTCAATTTTCTGTAGCTGTGTTTGATTCTCACTTTGAGTGAGTGCTGGGGACCTAATGCTGTCCTTAGGCACGGAGTTTTTCACCTCTGATGGCATATGTAGGAGGAGTGAGTGATTTTCCATAGGCAGGAGTCTGAGGATGGGGAGGGCAGTGGCTTTGTCCTCTCCAAACAGAAGCTACACTGGACACAAGTTGTTGCAGTTAACTTACTACTTCCGAAGAAACACTTCATCTAGCTTACGACCCCCTCTCATTGTGAGGATTTACTCATGTCTCTTCAAGTAAGTCCTTTCTCAGTTTCTCTTAACAATTTTAATTTTTTTCTTTATGCAACACTGTGATTTTGCGGCAATATTTTATTCCCTACAGCGTCTGAAAAGGTAGAGTGGGTTGAAAGATACTTCCTTGTCTATGAAACTGCTTGGCGGTTTTCTCTCTTTGAAGAATGAAGAGTTAAGGCATGCAGGCAAAGTAAATAATAAGTTAAGAATTTAGAAATTGTAGGTGGTTGCTTAAGACCGTGTGAGCATTATAATTTATTAGTGCATCTTTTAGAAAGTGTTTTCGTTCCCCAGCACCTCTTCCAGAGAGTAAGGCACTTAAGTGAAACAAACTGACATAGAAAGCAGGAATATCTGCCATTGTTTCCTTGGAATCTGTGGTTTCCTCTCAATCTGTGTAGTTTGTAACATCCACTTGTTTTAGAGTCATTTGCGCCATTTATTTGTATTTTCCCTAAAGTTTATGTTGAAATTCAGAGTTAGTGTTCCACAGAAAAATCACGAGAGACCTAAGTAAATCTGATGAAATGATACAGATATGCTTTGCACACAGAGAAAGACTGCCTGGTGTATATTTTGGTTGGAAATAGTTGGAGGAGCTTCTCAATCTGCCTCTCGATGTTTGATGGGCGTGATTGTTCATGTATTGTAAATGGAAAGACAAATTTCTTGGCTCTGAAATGAAACCACATAATATGGATGTTTCATTCAGGAAACAGATTTATATACATATAATGTCTCTGTGTAGTATAGTAAGTTCTTCTTTTGGTATTTGGTTACCAAAAGGTGTCCCAGCTATAATTGTAATTGTGTTCAAATCAGAACTCAGTTGCTAGTAAAACACGTTATCTGGATTGTTTCATTTTTCTTTTATACATATAAACTGTATTCCATATATAGGCATGATAGGAGAACTAAGTTGACCATATAGACAAGGGTTTGGTTTTCATACCCAATAGTGTAAATATAAATATGGCCTTAGGTAGATGGCAGTCAGACTATCTGAATGCAACCTCATCCTCAAAGATCTGAAATCTCTATTTCTTTCCCCTTTTCTCAAAACCTTTCTTTTTTTTCCTACAAATACTCATTTACTCTGTACCATGTGCCAGGCACTGTGATGGGCTCTGGGGACACAATAGGGAACAGGAAAGGTGCAGTCCTTCCCTTTAGGAGACTTTTAGTTTAGTGGGGAAGATGGATATTAGAAAAAGACACAATTACACAGACAATGAAAATCGCACAAGTCATTCGGTAATTAAGCTGTGGGAGCTATCGTCGTCTGCAATAACAGCATCCCTCTACGTTCTCGAGAGAGCCATTGGTCACTCCCCTCTGTCTTCATTAATGAGAAGTCACGATTGAATCTGTCATTCCAGGAAGGAGTTGGCTGTGGGACAGAGGTCTATATTGTGTGTGTGCTCATGTTCTTCTGTGTGGGGCGAACACGTTCATGTGTGAGGCACACTATGTTGGGTGATGGGAGAGGGATACAGAAGTGGGAGAGGCACCACCTTTGCCTGAAGGAGTAGGGGAGAGAGCATGCGTATCAAAAAAGTCTATTTATCTTTGCATCTATCTGTATAATATACATCACGATTAAATGATTAAAACAAGGAATTTCAGGGGTGCCTGAGTGGCTCAGTCACTTAAGCGTCCGACTTCGGCTCAGGTCATGATCTCACAGTTCATGGGTTCAAGCCCTGCATCGGGCTCTGTGCTGACAGCTCAGAGCCTGGAGCCTGCTTTGGATTCTGTGTCTCCCTCTCTCTCTCTGCCCCTCCCCCGCTCATACAATCTCTGTCTCTGAAAAATAAATAAACAGTTTTTTTAAAAAGGAATTTCACGGGCGCCTGGGTGGCGCAGTCGGTTAAGCGTCCGACTTCAGCCAGGTCACGATCTCGCGGTCCGTGAGTTCGAGCCCCGCGTCGGGCTCTGGGCTGTTGGCTCAGAGCCTGGAGCCTGTTTCCAATTCTGTGTCTCCCTCTCTCTCTGCCCCTCCCCTGTTCATGCTCTGTCTCTCTCTGTCCCAAAAATAAATAAACGTTGAAAAAAAAAAAAATTAGTATATGTGCTGCCGAAGCGAGCACGAAAAAAAAAAAATTAAAAAAAAAATAAAAAGGAATTTCAGGAATTCTTAGTGGGGGTGAAATGACTTCTAGTGTGGTTGATCAGCTAATGTTTCAATATTAGGTGATCTATACAGAAATAACTTGGACTTTGATAGGGAAATATGGTGGAGAGGGCATTCCAGGCAGAAGGAACAGAGTGAACAAAGGCAAGAAGGTGGGAAAATTCAGGGCATGTTGCAGGACGGATCCAAGAAAGGGAAGCAGAAGCCGACTATCGAACAAAAAAAAATAGCTCTATGCCAACAGGACAAGACAAGGTTGGCAGGATAAATTGAGACCAGATCGCTGAAGTTTTTCTATTTTCTGTTTAAGGATGTATTGAACTTTATTTGGTAGATCCCACTGTTGAGGGGGGTGACTGTGGTGAGAAAGGCCTGGAACTTGGAGCCTCGGGTGTGCCTGCCACCGTAGTCTCAGTGAGGGAAGGGGAAGGCCCTGATTGTTGGCTGTTCACCTGGTAAATGAGTGTTTGGGGTTTGAAGCAAATTTGCCACAGTGCCCTGGACTTTCCCAAAGATAATCTCTAGCATGGAGAAGCCATTAGGCCTTCCCTCTTCCCTCAGTTGCCAATCGATTTATACGCCCAGCTTTTTTTCCTATTAGGAATGACATGGTAGGCCTCCGATATAAATGCAGATATTTTAAATGGGAAAACCGTAAGGATGGCCAAGTAGACAGATTTTACTTGACATCACTACAAATGCTTCTGACCTGATTTTAGCTGACGTATGAATAAATGATTATTCCAGCCTTGAGAGTTAAATATTTAAACGTTAGTTCCTTTTTGGAGTTCATGTATAATACAGAACTGATTTTCTGTGCTGCAGACTTCCTCTCGTTGCCTTCTTTTTTTTTTTTTTAATACACCATAATTCTTATCCTACCCTTTTTCAGTTCCCTGCATGAACATTATTTAAACGTTGCACGCAAATCTGCGAAAGAAGAAAAGGATAGTCTGTGGGTCTCAGCAGGAGTTCAGCTAATGCAGCTTAAAATAATGCCGAGAAAGAAGCGCTTACCTGCAGGCAGAGTGGCCCTGATTCTCTTCCTGTGCCAGATGATTAGTGCACTGGAAGTACCACTTGATCGTAAGTATTAACGTTTCAAAGCTGTTAGGCCTGGGAGTTAAAGCCTCCCCGGCATTTCCCGTCACTGTGAGCCGTGTGAATGGAGAAGGTGTCTGTGTGATACTGAAAAGCTAATCAAAATTAATTTGGCTTTTACCTCCAAGCACCTGGTGTTTATAAAGAGTCTCACCATAGAAATGGCCATTGAACTGGTCAGACCATTGTCCCCTCCCTATCATTATCTTTCTTCCTCCTCAGGTGCCTTTTGTATACCATGTGGCTCGGGGGGGGGAGGGGGGGG